CGTGTTTCTTTCCTGCTCCAAACAACTCTGGATCTGGATGCAGCCACGGCCTAAAATATCCAAAAACGTTTAAAATGCAGCAGCAGCAGAAAATCCAGGGCACAAAACCAGAGAGAAACGAGAAACGAGAAACATGAAACATGAAAATTACAATTTGAACGAGTTTTGTGTCTGTGAATCTCTGCAGCAGTTTTAAAGGAAAATGTGAAATGTTCAGGGATCGTAGTCGTTTTATAAAGAATTTTAAACATAAAAATACAAATGTGATAAATATTCAGAATGTTAAGTTTGAACTTTTTTTTCTATTTGATTGTTTTTCATTCTTAGTTGAAATTGAAAAGAGCAAACGACCCACAGACCTGTAAAACTCCAGAACGTTTAAAAGGACCAACAGCTTCTGTCAACTTTCAGATGAAACAATAAAAGTGTCAGAGACTCAGTGGACAGTTGAGTTCTGTGGTTTGATCCCAGCTCTGATCTGTGCCTCTCGCCCTTGAGCAAGACACTTTACCCACCTTTATGTTTGAATGTGACAGTGAGGGATTCAGAGGAGCCGGCGGTGCAGATCGTCAGCCACGTTTACGTCACTTTAAACATTTACGTCACTTTAAACATTTACGTCAGTCTAAACCTTCACGTTCTCTGTAAAATCGTCCCGTACACTGTTTATATAAATGAACATCATTAACTCGCTCGCCGCCGCGTTAGAACAGGACATGAACTTGAACTCGCTCGTCGCCGCATTCCAAACTTGATTAAAAAAACGTATTAAAATATTTTGCACAATTTATAAATTCTTGATGAAGATTTTGGGAGGTGATTTTGACACATGTAGACTGTGTTTTTAGATTTTAATTAAATTATTTTTAGGATTAAACATGCAGGTTTACAGACGTTACGTTGTTGACGTCAAGTTTCCTGCACAGGAACAGGACGCAACAGCCTCACTCCTGATTGGCTCTTTAGATTCGATACTTGTGTTCAGAATTTCCCAGAATGACTCTTGGCCCAGATTCACTTATGTAATCACAGCCTCGATGAGCTTCATTTGACTGGAGCTGAGCGCTGTGACGTCACACTCGCAAAGTCTACGGTCCGTCTCCGTCCACGGTCTACGGTCTGTCCAAAGTCTATGGTCTGTCCCCATGGTCTGTCTATGGTCTATGGTCCGGCCGCGGTCCACGGTCTGTCCACAGTCTACGGTCCACGGTCCGTCTAAAGTCCACGGTCCACGGTCCGTCTAAAGTCCACGGTCCGTCTAAAGTCCACGGTCCATGGTCTGTCCACAGTCTACGGTCCACGGTCCGTCTAAAGTCCACGGTCCACGGTCCGTCTAAAGTCCACGGTCCGTCTAAAGTCCATGGTCCACGGTCCGTCTAAAGTCCACGGTCCGTCTAAAGTCCACGGTCCACGTCCGTCTAAAGTCCATGGTCCACGGTCCGTCTAAAGTCCACGGTCCAGCCCGTCTAAAGTCCAGTCCACGGTCCACGGTCCCGTCTAAACGGTCGTCTAAAGTCCACGGTCCACGGTCCGTCTAAAGTCCACGGTCCGTCTAAAGTCCACGGTCCACGGTCCGTCTAAAGTCCACGGTCCGTCTAAAGTCCACGGTCCACGGTCCGTCTAAAGTCCACAGTCCACGGTCCGTCTAAAGTCCACAGTCCACGGTCCGTCTAAAGTCCACGGTCCACGATCTGTCCTCAGGTTCAGAAACTCTTGGTTCTTATGTAACTCTGCAAACAAAGGTCTCTGAGTCTGACAAATGGACTTTCTGTTTGAATCTGGTTTGGTTTAGTTTGGTTTTGTTTAGTTTGGTTTTGTTTTGTGGTCGTGGCCTGAAGTTGACGCTGAATCCGTGTATTTATTTTCTAACTTTCCATCTGCAGATTCTAAAGGGTTTGTTTATTGTGTTTGTGCAAATGAAATAAAGTTATTTTGTACATAAAATATTCGTCTTTCTTCAGCAACAGGTCAAAAAGAAACTGAACCAGGTCTAAACCAGGACTAAACTAAGACTAAACCAGGACTGAACCAGGACTGAACCAGGTCTAAACCAGGACTAAACTAAGACTAAACCAGGATTAAACCAGGACTAAATCAGGACTAAACCAGGGCTAAACCAGACTACAACAATATCCGGACTACGACAAAACTAAGAAAAGAGCCGCTAAAAGGTCCAAAAACCATTTAACAGAACTAAACCAGGACTAACACAAGTAAACGAGGTCTAAAAGATTAAACCATGACTGAAGACTAAACTAGAACTCAACCAGGACTAACTGGAACTGAAGATTGGACTAACTCAGGACTAAACCCAAACTAAATCAGGACTAAATCAGAACAAGTCAAACTGGACTAAACCAGGTCTAAACCAGGACCAGAACCACATAAAGACCTAAAACGCGTGTCCAGTCTGAGCAGGAAACATGACATGTGCGTTTGCGTTGCCGTGGAAACCAAACATATCGATCTGGCTCTGGGTTTTGGGCGAGTCTCATGTAAACGATGAGGTCATCAGATTAAACCAGGACACGGAACACAAACACAAGACCCAAAACCAGGTCCAGGCCAGGTCCAGGCCAGAGATCAGACCAGGGTCAGATCAGGGCCAGACCAGAGACCAGACTGAAGACCAGAGACCAGACCAGAGGCTAGACCAAAGACCAGACCAGAGACCAGACCAGAGCCCAGGGACCAGGGACTAGACCAGGGACCAGACCAGAACTCAACCAGGTCTAATCTGGACTCAAGTTCACTGCAGAACATTTCTCCCATCAACCTGGACAGAACATGCAGAAGAATCCTCCAGGTCCTCCAGATCCTCCAGATCCTCCAGGTCCTCCAGGTCCTCCAGGTCCTCCAGATCCTGACTCAGACCTGGAGCCAGTTACTCCTTAAAGCCACAATAAGAAACTTTTTTTTTGTGTGCCAAAATAGACAAAAATATGGATGTTGTTTTTTTTGTACTGAAACTCTGAAAACCCCACGTCCTTACAGTGAGAGGACTCGCCCCTCCACAGACCCGACTCTGACTGGACCTGGAGGAGGATCTGCTGCTCGAGTCTGTGGAGATGTTCTTCTGGTTTTCGACATAAAACATCTCGGTCTCCATGGAGAATGTTCCAGAGTGTGGCTTTAACTTTTTATGTCCGTGGATTTTAACGTTCCACCTCCACAAAGTTCCACACTGAGGCTTTAAATGTTGTGGTTTGAACGTTGTGAGAGACGATTCTGGTCGTGTTGGGCCGTGGTCCAGGAGCAGGAGATCCTCTGGTCAGGGCACAGTGGGCAGGCGGACGGGCCAAACCAAAAGGATCCATCAACATCTGAACCAAACCACAAAAATCTCCCCAAAGCAAAGAGTTTACTGTCAAACCGTGAGTCACAGGGTCACAGTCCAAGACCAGGACCAGGACTGAACCAGGTCTGAACCAGGTCTGAACCAGGTCTGAACAAGGACCAAACCAGGACTGAACCGTGAGTCAGAGGATCACAGTCCAAGACCAAATCTGAACAAAGACTGAACAAGGACCAAACCAAAATTGAACCAGGACAGAGCCAGGACTAAAACAGGACCTGGATGCTTAGTGGGATCTGGACTTGTGAAAGACTGGTTCTTGGTTCTGTTCTTGATCTGGTTCTTAGAGCTGTTCTTGGTTTGGTTCTTGGTCTGGTTCCTCGGATGTAGCGCTCACGTGTTTGTGGTGTCCGGGTCCGGTCCGGGTCCGGTCCGGGTCCGGTCCTGGGTCTGGTCCGGTCCTGGGGGTCCGGTCCTGGGTCCGGTCCTGGGTCTGGTCCTGGGTCTGGTCCTGGGTCTGGTCCTGGGTCTGCACGTGTTCAGGATGAGGTCACATGGTCCAGATGTTCTGAGGTGGACGTTCGTTAGTTTTGATAAACAAAAATCATTAAGCAGCTGCACCGGACTCACATCTGGACTTTTGTGATCAGGACCAGGACCAGGACCAGGGTCAAACTTAAACCGGGACAAGGTCTGGATCTGACCCAACCTTCAGTGTTAAAACAGGACTAAACCAGGATTAAACCAGAACTAAACCAGGACTAAACCAGGATTAAACCAGAACTAAACCAGGACTAAACCAGGATTAAACCAGAACTAAACCAGGACTAAACCAGGTTTAAACCAGGACTAAACCAGAACTGAACCAGGTCTAAACCAGGACTAAACCAAGTCTAAACCAGGACTAAACCAGGACTAAACCAGAACTGAACCAGGTCTAAACCAGGTTTAAACCAGGTCTAAACCAGGACTAAACCAGGTCTAAACCAGGACTAAACCAGAACTGAACCAGGTCTAAACCAGGTCTAAACCAGGACTAAACCAGAACTGAACCAGGTCTAAACCAGGACTAAACCAGAACTGAACCAGGTCTAAACCAGGACTACAGCCAGACTGAGATTTTAATCTTGTGATAAAAAGTTCTTTTAAACATTTAAATCTGTGAGTTTGAATCATTTCATTTATTTATTTTTTTACTCGAGGAAAATCAGATTCACTTTTGTTCTTTTGGTTTTAGATTAAAGAGTTTGAAACGTGTCGGTGCTGCCCCCTGCTGCTCACACTCCTGCACAACACCAACAAACACCAACAAACACCAACAAACACCAACAAACACCAACAAACACCGACAAACAAACACCGACAAACACCAACAAACACGACAAACACCGACAAACACCAACAAACACAACAAACACCGACAAACACACAAACAAACAACACACAAACACCAACAAAACACCAACAAACAAACACCAAACAAACACCAACAAAACACAACAACCAACAAACACCAACAAACACCAACAAACACCAACAAAACCAACCAACAAACACCAACAAACACCGACAAAACACCAACAAACACCAAACAAACAACAAACACCCAACAAACACCAACAAACACCAACAAACACCAACAAACAAAACAACACCAACAAAACACCAACAAACAAACACCAACAAACACCAACAAACAAACACCGACAAACACCAACAACACCGACAAACACCAACAAACACCAACAAACACCGACAAACACCAACAAACACTAACAAACACCGACAAACACCAACAAACACCAACAAACACTAACAAACAAACACCAACAAACACCGACAAACACCAACAAACACCGACAAACACCGACAAACACCAACAAACACCGACAAACAAACACCAACAAACAAACACCGACAAACACCAACAAACACCAACAAACACCGACAAACACCGACAAACACCGACAAACAACAAACACCAACAAACAAACACCAACACCAACAAACACAACAAACACAACAAACACCAACACCAACAAACAAACACCAACAAACACCGACAAACACCGACAAACACCGACAAACACACAACAAACAACAACACACCGACAAACACCGACAAACAAACACCAACAAACAACAAACACCGACAAACACCAAACAAACACCAACAAACACCAACAAACACCGACAAACACCAAACAACACACAACAACAAACACCACAACAAACACCAACAAACACCAAACAAACACAAACAAAACAAACACCAACAAACACCGACAAACACCAACAAACACCAACAAACAAACACCAACAAACACCAACAAACAAACACCAACAAACACCGACAAACACCAACAAACACCGACAAACACAACAAACAAACACCGACAAACACCAACAAACACCGACAAACACCGACAAACACCAACAAACACCGACAAACACACCGACAAACACCGACAAACACCGACAAACATCGACAAACACCAACAAACACCGACAAACACCAACAAACACAAACAAACACCGACAAACACCGACAAACACCGACAAACACCAACAAACAAACAAACCGACAAACACCGACAAACCACAACAAAAACACCAACAAACACCGAACAAACACAACAAACACAACAAACAACACAACAAACAACAAACACCGACAAACACCGACAAACACCGACAAACAAACACCGACAAACACCAACAAACACCAACAAAACAAACACCAACAAACACCGACAAACACCGACAAACACCGACAAACACCAACACAAACACCAACAAACACCGACAAACACCAACAAACAAACACCAACAAACACCAACAAACACCGACAAACACCGACAAACACAAACAAACAAACACCAACAAACACCGACAAACACCAACAAACAAACACCAACAAACAAACACCGACAAACACCAACAAACAACAAACACCAACAAACAAACACCAACAAACACCAACAAACATCGACAAACACCAACAAACAAACACCAACAAACAAACACCAACAAACACCAACAAACACCAACAAACACCAACAAACAAACACCAACAAACACCAACAAACACCAACAAACACAACACAAACACAACAAACCACAACACAAACCAAACAA